TGCTATTACAAAAAGATTGAAAACGAAACACTGATGAATAGATAAATAACAGTGCAAAGAACAGAATCACTAAACTTAACAGTACACAGAACAGAATCAGTAAACTTGGCAAGGCAAGTGGTACACCATACGCAGTGCGTATTACGCACGCGGTACACCATGCACCATTCGAGAAACGTCTATGCTGTTTTGGTGCGTTTTGACAGAGTACAGTAAATAAAAAATAAATATTTATTCATTGTTAATATTGATTACTACCTAAAAATGAATTCGAAATTTATAATAAATAACTTTTAAAGTTCGCCTAAGCAAATAGGTATTTATTATTCCCAAATTTGCCTTATAATAATAAACATATGTGCAACAAACAAAGTATTTGTTTCTGCTAAATAAAATATATTACGCAGATTATTAATAGTTAAAAAGGTTAATTAACAATAAATTTACTTTATTTATTGTAAATAAATGCTATCCAAATAAAGATTTGTTAACTATAAAATATACTTTTTCTCTCAGTGTATAAAGATAAGCAAAAATGCAAAAAATAGCGATTAGGACATATAACAAAACCGTATATGCACTAAATGAAATGAATTGGAGCGTCATCTTAACCACTAATTTGAAGTCTTTGTTTATTTAATGCACTATGAATAGTTTTTATATCATCTAAATCTAAATTTTCAAGTTGAATTTTATTTTCTTTAATGTCTTTTTCTTTATAAGTCTTTGTAAACTGTAGATGGGGCAGATCAATATTTTTTAAAATTACATTGGAATCGGAGTAACCTTTTAAAACAACATCGTTTATTTGCACTTCACATTTGTCTTTAAGTTCTAACACGTAACTCCCGATTATTGGAAATAAGTCCTTATTATCCGCACAATTAATTCTAGCTACTAAGGATGTGGGGCCAATGATGATCCATTGGTTATTTCCTAGATTTTGAACCATAAGAGAGGATACAGCTACTGGAACTTGTTTACAATTGCTGGTATTACTTAAATATTGTAATAGTTGAACTTCACATGGAGACTTATCGGAAATGTTTAGAATATCAGTATTTCGGCATAGGTATTATTCTGATTTTACAATATCGCAGTTTGTGTTGAGTAATGCAAAGTTGTGCTCATTTAAAATAAGGTATTTGGATTTAGGAATTATGATTTTATAGGTATCATTTGTAAATACAGGAAATGGGTATAGGTGAAATATATTAAAATTTTGTTGTTCAACTAACGGCACTGATTTTACTTTTTTTAACACAGCTTTTGATTTTTATAATTTTTTCGAAAAGCAGAATATTTTCTAATTCAGGTTTAAATGGAAGTTTTTAATTATAAAGATGTTGATTTATGTTTAAAATTTCACTAATTAAGTCCTTTGGATCTATAATTGAGTTGTGTAACGTATTTAATTTTGAAAATGTAGTTGCAATTTGTATTTTTTTTTAATATGTCATAAATTAATTGAAACATAATAGACAATTGCGAAAATATTATTTGCAAATGAAAGTGAAAGATTTCAGCATTCGTTAAACGGTTTTCGTTGAAAAGCGTTTCGAGCTGTTCTATTTTGTTTTTTAATATATTTTGATTTTTTGATAATATTTGAAAGTTGTTTATTGATTGATATATGTAGTAAGCTAATTTGATCGTTGATTAAGGATTTAAAATGATGTCGGTTATTAAGAAGTGTTTCTATTGATTCATCATATTTTTCTGCATCTTTTTGATCAAGGTTCCCGGTAATTGCTTTAATGATTGAACCTAGACCATCTATAAGCCCTCTCCTATTTCTGGGATTTATTGAAGGATTAATAAACTGATTTTTAATTTTTGTTTCAATTAAATCTAAAATGCGATATGAATTAAAATAGTCTTGATGAAAACTATAATTTTGAGTGGAATTATTAAAAATATTTTTTATTGACAAATAGTGGTTGCAAAGGAAGTTGAATTCGTCAGTTATATTTGTAATATCATATATCTGAATAAAAGACCAAGAGTTGGTTTGTAATTGTGCCTTGCCTAATTTATGAAATTTGATTGGTTCTACATCTGCCTTTACGTGGACGAGGAATAGTATTAGTAATAGTATAGTTTTCATCCTTATCTAGTTGTCTATAGGTTCCGAAGAATTTGTTCTTTCCCAGGTCTTCTTACTTCTATCTTATTCTAACTGGTATTGGCGATGTGTGTCCTCCACCAGGGTTTCAGGGGTTGACGATTTTTGTTCTCACCCTGAGCTGTGTAGTCTGTTTTTGTTACCACTATGGGAACACGATTTTAACTAGTGAATTAATCGTAAGACGAACGGGATTTGCACACGAACTTTTCGTTGCCGATTATAGTTCACTAAAATCAACCCTTCACTAGCCTACCGACTGTACCACTTTTGTTTGCGGTTCCAAGAATAGGGTTTGTAAACAAATATTTTCTACACAGGGACTTTATTGTTTAAGTGTGAATTACATAAAGACAATCTTATTATGTTTTACATTCGTTTTATTATCTTTACTGCTGAGCTTGAGAATTCTCCCCCGAGCAGAAAGATTACTTTCTGTTATTGCAGTTCTATATATAGATGTTATTAAAGACTTAAATTTAAAATAAGTATTTTAAAGACTTAAATTTAAAATAAGCATTTTAAATAATTTTTTTGCATAACTCAGCTTTTTCAATCTTTGTTTCAATTCTTTTGGGGAAATAAGATTTCTATGAAAATCTATATTATTTTTCAAAACCTGTTAATAATATATAGAGATATATAGGTTCTTAATGTTCTATTTGACACATTATTACCATTTTGACATCCTATCTTCTATTACAAAACACAAGATAATAGGTTTTATAATTTCGCCCTGGTGGGTAAAGTTTGCAAAATATTGTTATATTTTACTCTGGTGTCACAATTTTTCGTTGTCTGGACAGCTGTTTATAAGTGAAATTAACTTATTTTTCTTTGTTTTTGATAATTACACTATACAATTTGTTACATTTGTTGAGTTTGATATTTTTCAATGTTTTACAACATCCTGGTCCACAGTGCGGAGTGTAAATTGACGCGCCTGGACTGCACGCCGTGAGAGCGGCCTGGCGCGACGGTTATAATGGATATCATTAAATATGGAAACCCAATAGTATGCAATATATCCTATAGGAGTAGATAAAATATTATTTTTGTATCCTTAATGGAAAAAAGCATATTTTATTGAGACAAAATCGTAAATAAAAGTATTGGTTTTATGGTTAGCAACACTTTTATAAGCAACTTAAAAAGTACTAACGGATGTCAGATTGTCCTTCTATCAGATGTCAGTAGCATACAGGAGCAACTATAATGATCCATGATAATTTTTATTTTATTAATTAATGCGTTGAGAAAGTAAGTTTTCTATCTCGTGGAAATGTATTTAGATATTTATTACTTTTATTTACTTATAGAACAATCTTTTAACTATCAGTAAAAAAGTCCTCTTTATTCAGGGTGTAACTAAAATGCTTGACCAACCTCCACAAGATTGTGGTATGGAACAAAAGAGTAGGTAAACATTTAACTAAACTAACTAAATTAAATCACAGGTTTAACCGCCAAAAAGAAAAATCTGGTTATGATTGTTAAAATCTATTTTTATTCGTCACCCAGATTTATCTATCAGGAAAGCGGAATGAGTTTCAGTAGCCGGAGCTGATGGCATGTCCAGGGAAAAAATCAAAGCATATTTTCAAATATTGCATGAAACCCTTGAAGAAAATGGTTTATTTGAGTCCCCTGGATCCATATATAATATGGACAAAACGGGACTACAGCTTAACAATAAAGCCGGTTACGTTATAGCCTAGAAAGGATCAGAAGACGTGTTAACAATTACATCAGGAGAAAGGGGGGAAACCATAACAGTAATCGCGTGCTGTAATGCAGAGGGTATTTTTTACCGCCAGCCTGTGTATTGAAAGGCAAGTACAAAAAATATGAATTTCAAGACGGCATGCCAAATGGATCGGTAGTTTATATGAACCAGAAATCGGCGTATGTGAACTCAGATATCTTTTTAATGTGGTTATTTTTTGCCCAGAAAAGGCTTAGGAAAAGTAATTTTGATCATTGATAGTCATTCATCCCACTGCAGTGCCGAAGTATTACAACTAGCAGAAAGTAATGATGTAATTTTATTGTGTTTACCAAGCTACACTACGCATAACCTACAACCTTTGGACCGTGGAGTGTTTAAGTCCCTAAAATCTGCATTCAACAAAGTTTGTCACTTATACATGAAAACAAATCCAAGTCGAAGGATAACAAGATTTTAATTCGGTAAACTCTTGGCTGAAGCATGGACAAAAGCAGCAACTAATGAGAACGCAATTTCTGCATTTAGAGCCACGGGTATTTTCCATTTTAATCCTGAAGCTTTACCGGAGCATGCCTATTCTGTCTCTGATGCTGCAATATCTCGTCAGCCTAATGAATATAATTCAATAAATCCCGATCATCGATCATCTACCCCTCAGCCCGGCCCATCATCAGCACCTGATCAGCCTCCATCCGCTGGTAAAGTTTTTGAACATATCTCCCCGTTGCCCACAATTCCTCAAGGCCAAAAAATTGAAGCCGAGAATGTCTTATTCCGAATAAGATGAAGAATACAAAGCGAAAAAAGATAGTGATAATGACATTGACGACGAGATTAATGAAAACGAATGTGCTTGGATGTCTTGAAGATTAAAACTCGACAACTCGTTCCGATGATTGCCGATCTGTTGCATTTTATGCAGCCGCCAGCAGTGCATCCAGATGTACGAGAACTGTACTAAATATAAAAATATGTGTGATGTATGTGGAAAACGTACCCAAAAGACAATGTTTTGTAACTTTTGTTGTTAATCATGGGTTAAATAAAGTTTGTTTTAAACTATGCCTCATTTGTTTTGGTTATAACTATTTTGCATCATAAAAACATCCAATTTTTCGAATTGTGGGGCATCTCACCCGGACTTACCCTAGCCTAAACATTTCGCATATGAATATCAGATGTTTATATAAACACTTTTGGTTTATTTGGAGGATATGAAGGAAAATATTTAATAAAGAATTCTTCTGAAGAAAATAAGTTAAAATATAATAACTATAATAACTATAGTTATACCGTAATAAGTTACAAAAGTTAATCAAATATAAAAAATGCGTATTTTAGGCAAGAAATATATAAAGTAAAAGGTGATTTAAAAAAAATATGAAATGTAATAAACGAGGTATCTAACTCCAAAAATATAAAAAGGTATAGAGTTTATTGAGAAGGAGGATGGAAACTTCTCAAAAAATAGTAAAGAAATTATTAAATTACTTTATACTCGTAAATGTAGGCATCAATATGCAAAAAATATCCAAAAACCGAAAAATTCTAATATACCTAATACAAAATAATTACCCATGTTTTTAAAACCAATAAACGAAAAAGAAAATAATAAAATACATTTCAAAATTAAAAAATAAATCTGCTTCAGGTCCAGATGGTATATCTACATATACCATTAAAACTATTCATCACTTAATTCTAAGACCTTTGGAACATATTATTAATTTAAGCTTTAAAATAGCATTGTTCCAGACTCCTAAAAAGAATCAGTGGTAACCCCCGAATATAAGCAAGGTTTTAAAAGTTTATGTACAAATTTTAGACCAATCTCGTCCATAAGTAACTTTGCAAAAAGTATTAAATCCCTCTTGACTGAATACCTAGATAATTTTTAAATTCTTAATAATAAACAGTTTGGCTTTAGGAAAAAAATTTCAACTGAAGATTCTACATAGCATTTAATAAAATAGTGGTAAATAATTTGGAAACAAACCGGAAAAGTCTTGCAGTGTTTTTGGACTTGGCCAAAGCCTTTAACACGGTTGACTATGAGGTATTGTTGGAAAGGTTAAGTGAAGTAGGTGTTAGAGGTACTATAAATAATCTTAATAAGAATTATCTATCAAACAGAACCCAGAAAGTAAAAATTAATCAAAACATAAGTACCCCATTATTTATAACTAAAGGTGTTCCCCAGGGTATTGTACTAGAACCTATCCTATTCCTAATATATATTAACAATATAGTAAATTTAAAAAACATAATGGGGGAAATAATTTCTTATGTTGACGATACTGTCATTATATTTAGTGGAGACTCCTGGGATGCTGTGTACAGTCAGGCTGAGGCCGACTTAAGGGCACTGCGAGACTTTCTCAGTTTGTTAAGTTTAAATTTAAATAAAACCAAGTTTATAACGTTTACTATTTCGGCTGACGATCAACCTCAAAAAACCTTTATATCATTAAACGAAATTAAGTGTACCCCAAATGTTTGTAGTTGTCCAAAAATAAAAAATGTCTATAAAATTAAGTATTTAGGTATTATCGTTGATCATCATCTGAGATGGAATGAACATACTTAATACCTGTGTACTAAATTAAGGAAACTTATTCCAAAATTTTACTGTATTAGAAATATATTAAATTTAAAAAATATGCTTATAATGTATAATTTACTAGTAAAATCAATATTAAGTTATGTGTTTCTGTTTGGGGCGGTTTATATTCTAATAGTATATATATATATATAATAAAGCAAGAATGTACTCCACTGGTAATTTATATCTCGAGACCAAACTCTTAAAAATTAGACAAATCCATATACATAAGTGCCTAGGCACAAGCTTTTATATACATTTCATCAATATCAGACGGAAAGTAAAATTTATCATTTACATAATACAAGATACAATTCTAATAATAATATTAAATTACCTATTTTTAAAAAGACTTACGCAGAGATATATATTTTATATTGGCCCAAATAAACTAAAGGCGTTAAGAAAATTTAATACTTTTAAAATTGAAATAGAAATTCATATCAGAGCCAAAATAAATATAATTAAAAAAATTTTTTTATTAAGAAGTCCCACTATTTTGTGATGGTCCTCAAATACATACATACAATTACTATATTAATATTTGCGTTTGCTTCCTTCTTAGTTTATAAAAAAATCTAATTAACAAAAATGAACTGTAATTATTATTTAAACATTAAATATAGATATTTCTTTTTTTTGTAATATTATTTTATTTCACAACACAATCACAGATACGTGATAAGGTGAAATACAGTAAAAATTAAAAATCAAGAATCTATTTTAGTTTCTGATATAAAATATTACATAAAAGAAAAAACAATGTAAACTGTGTACCATTTAATGGAATAAATATATTATTATTATTAATGTTTTTTGATTAAACAAATTTGTAGTAGTTATTGGAGCTACTAACATTTTCAAAATAATCTACCAGTTTATACAGCTTTTGTTGGTAATAATAGCATTATTTTCCTTTAAGAATGGAACAGTTAGAGCCAGCAATTTTTTGAATTTTCTTCCACACCAAAGATGTGGTGTAGAATTTATGTCTGAAACTTAGTTCTCCCAGGAGGTTTTTTTATTTATACAGTCCGCCTAGTCTTTGCTCTAGCCATTTCAAGTTCTATAAGGTTCTTCATAGTTCTGTGCCTTTTAAATAGATTAAACATATGTTATAGCTTCCTTTACCTTATAATTTAACCAAGCTTGTTCTGCAGCATGCAGGTTGGTATTTTCACCTCGTCATCGATGCTGGTTTCAGGAGAAATTATAGGATCAGTTAAGTAAGCTCTAAAAGTTTCCCAGCTAGTTTGCTCTATTTTCCATCTTTCAGGGTTAAATTGTCTGATTCGCCCAAAATCGACCCCAATCCTGATCAGAAAGCGGTCGCTGTCGTGCAAATCATCCAACACCTTCCACCTTAGACGATGGCCAACTGTCGTAGAACTAAGCGAGAGATGCAAACAAGAAAAATTTTCTGAACGAAGATTGAAAAAGGTAGAAGAGCCAGTATTCAAAAGGATTAAATCTGGATTTCTTAAAATAAATTGCTTTATCAGATTTCCTCTTGCATCCGTAGTTTCAGACCCCCATGGTGGATTATGAGCATTGAAGTCGCCTAACAAAAGGTATGGCCGTGGAATTTTTAAGATCAGGCCTTCCAGATCATTGATAGACCAATCAAAACGCGGTAGTTATACATAACCTATATTTAATGATAGCGGGTAATCTACTTTTACTGCAATTGCTTAAAGTTTGGTATTTATTGGTATTTTTTGATTTTTAAATTATTTCTAATTCCAATGGCTCTTTCGCCATTTGCTCGCTATCCTGGTACCACATCATGTTCTCTTTGAGGAAGTATGGTTGCTCTGGTTTTAAATGAGTTTGAAAGCATACACAGTGGCAAAAATTAATATTATTATTATTATTATTATTATTATTATTATTATTATTATTATTATTATTATTATTATTATTATTATTATTAATATTTATATGTGCGATTTTTTTATAACAATTTAATAGCTATTATTTTTAACAACGATTAGTTGTATTTATGATGCTTCAATTTTAGTATATTAAAGAACTAATGTCATAAGACGTCATTTTGTCGCACGTGACAATTTATAAAACGACTTTTGTAATGGACGAGTGCGAAAAAAGGTCTTATGACATGAGTTCTTTATGCTTTTTTATCTTTTTTTTTTGAAAAATTCTATAAAAAAAATTTTACACCTTAAATTTTATTTGGTCGAATTTTACTTTAGATAGTTGGTATCACAGTCATTGGTTTGACAGTTTATGTCAAAATCGATTCGCCATGCTGTCCTTAATTTACTTATTATAAGCGGCTCTTAATGTTAAAGAAAAAAAAAAGGATTTTCTTTGGTGTTAAACAAAATGTATTGCCAGAAAAGTGTCGTAAGTACTAGAAAAATCATAAAAATATTATAACCAATATGCAAAATATTATGCTATAATAGCCAACCAATAAAATCAAAATTTTGGGTGGGATAAAGTATCTCATTACAGCACCAAAATAATAAAAGAGGAAATATAGTGAAGTATGTGTTTATTAATTTTTATTAGTATTTATACGTTTAAATGCTAATAGATGAAAATTAGCAAGTTTTTATGATATATAATATTTTTTAAAGTTCAAGTACTTTTAAGTAAAAGATATTAATTTTAACAATCCTTAAATATTTCTTATACATTTTTTTTGTTATTCCTTGTTTATGTTTTCAGGGCGATTTTATAAACATAAATATTTAAGTAATTACTTTAAATTTCCTGAAATAAATGTTTACACAAATACATCCATTAAAGTTCCAAGGAAATTTAGGTCAGGCTCCTTTAAAAGCAGGTAGGTCCTTATCGGTAGGTAAAATGTTTTCCAATGTATCGCAAACTTAAGAGCAGTTCTCTCTCAAGTTTCAAATAATGATCAACCTTTTGAGCATTATTAAAAATGAGATATTCTACAAATAATTTTAGTAAGCCCAGAAAAATTTTTTGGCGCTTGCTTACTTTTCGATAAGTGTTCTCCATATTATGTATCAAGTTTTATAAGCGCCATTTTATTTACCAGTTTTATTAGGCCATTTAGGCCACCACATATTCGTTGGCAGCAAATACGTAAACTTAAACGTAAATAATAACGCTTTTATATTTTGATGACCAAAATTGGTTGCCAAGATGTGGCTTCTTTGGTCTTCTTTGTTTGTTTTTTAAATAAATCATCTTAAGACCATTTAACAACTTAAAAAAGCAGTTAATAATGCTTTTTGAAGTTTTCTCAAACGTACATATGTATACAGCTATAGCTGCCAACGGATATGTGATGTAATTTAATTTAAACGTGTTTTTTAATTTGCAATATAAAAGTTCCAAATAATGATCAACCTTTTGAGAATTATTAAAAATGAGTTATTCTACAAATAATTTTACTAAGCCCAGAAGTTTTTGGCGCTTGGTTCCTTTTCGATAAGCGTTATCCATATTATGTATCAAATCTATAAGCGTCATTTTAGTTACCAGTTTTATTTGGCCATTTAGGCCAACACATATTCGTTAGCAGCAAATACTTATACGTAAACGTAAATAAAAACG